GGGCTCTACCGCGGCCGCCGCTGCCGCATGGAGTCCTGCTTCGACTTCTCCCTTTGCCAGAAAAACGGCTTCAAGGTCTACGTCTACCCGCAGCAGAAAGGCGAGAAGATCGCGGAAAGTTACCAGAACGTCCTGGCGGCCATCGAGGGCTCCCGCTTCTACACCTCGGACCCCGGCCAGGCGTGTCTCTTCGTGCTCAGCCTCGACACGCTAGACCGGGACCAGCTCTCCCCGCAGTACGTGCACAACCTCCGCTCCAAGGTGCAGAGCCTCCACTTGTGGAACAACGGTAGAAATCACTTGATTTTTAATTTATATTCCGGCACCTGGCCCGATTATACTGAGGATGTGGGGTTCGACATTGGCCAGGCCATGCTGGCCAAAGCCAGCATCAGTACTGAAAACTTCAGACCTAATTTTGATGTTTCTATTCCGCTCTTTTCTAAGGATCATCCTAGGACAGGAGGGGAGAAGGGATTTTTAAGGTTCAACACCATCCCTCCTCTCAGGAAGTACATGTTGGTATTCAAGGGGAAAAGGTACCTGACAGGGATAGGGTCAGACACCAGGAATGCCTTATATCACGTCCATAACGGAGAGGATGTTGTCCTCTTGACCACCTGCAAGCATGGCAAGGACTGGCAAAAGCACAAGGATTCGCGTTGTGATAGAGACAACACCGAATACGAGAAGTAAGTGAGCGGCACCTCTCCGCTGCGCGGGTCCGTTTGGGGGGATACCAGCCTTTCCGACTCGGGATGGTCTCTGCAGCTGTCAGGCTCTTGTGCCTTTAAAGGCTGGTAGGGGCTTTCAGGCCAAAGGAAAGTCATGATTTTTGCTCTTTCTTTTCTTTTCTTTCCTTTGTTTGCTGTGAGATTGCTGGCAAACTCTTGGTGGGTTGCTGCGCATGGAGGGAACAAGGAGGGAGGTGGGAAAAGGCAGTCCGGACTCCCGGGGTTTTGGCTTAGGCTGCCTAGGGACCGAGGACCTGTAGAGCATCCGTGCTCGCAGCCCATCGGCTGCACCAACTCAGCCGGCAGCAGAGATGCTGCTGCTGGAGGCTGCTCTGGCAGCCCGCACCGCCGCTCATCCTGTGCTCTGCCTCTTCGGGGGAAATGCCCTCTTCCTTCCCAGCCTTGAAGTTCTCCACCTAAGCCAAAGTTTGAGGAGAGCTGAGGACTTGTACAATGTGTGCGTGAGCCCGCCTGTGCGGTGGTTTAGTTCCTGAGGGTAACGGCTCATCTCTCCCCAAAAGCGCTGCCCGGAGTCCGGGCTCAATCTGCGCGTCTGGGTGGCGGGGACGGTGACTTGCCTCACAGTCTTTCTCCTCTGGGTTCAAATTTGGTACAACATCAGAAGAGGAAGGAGCAAAAAGAAATGCTGACTGTGTTGTTTTCTGTGCTTGAGTTTGAAATTTTTGCGTGTCCGAGAATACTCCAGTGGTAGCAACACACTGTGTGTTCTGCTGTTGCCAGGCTGCTTTTTTTTTTTTCCTGCCTTTTTTTTTTTTTAATGTGACTGTATATAAACTTTAGCCAGATTACAGGTTGCTGCGGTGTTATCCTTGTGTCCCAGTAGGCTTTTCAGGTTTGTACATGAAGCCACTGGGAAAATCACTTCCTGGGAATTACCTCTAGAACTGTGATGCTGATTAGGCTGTTTGGAGCTGATTAGTTCATTTAAATGCTGACGACCACTGTGTTGCTGCGGAGTAGATACATAGGAAGTTTTCTGCATGAGAATGTTGCCTATGTTGGAGAAGTTAGAAACTAAATTGAAACAAACTAGCTTTATACTGCTGAGGTAGTGTACAGGGGAGCTGCATCGAGAGCTGCCAAAGGCTGAAGGGGTTTGCGGCGCATGGTAGAATACTACGTGGGTGGAAAAATACTCCTGGAGAAGAGTAGTGAAAAAACTACAGTGGCGTTAATGCTGATCAGAATTTCCACTTTACCAGAATTTTTCTCCGCTAAAATTTGCCACAGAGATTTGATAAAGATTGCTGCGGTAACACCAAAACATGGGGAAGACTGTGTGTGTTCTTGAATGAACTTTATTCACCTTCCGATTATTTTAAAGCCACATTAAGAGGGGAGAAGACAGCAGTGCAAATACTTGATAAACTTTTAATACCGTTCACGTTCAGAAAACTGATGACTGAGTGACAAAATGATGCATACATGGGAAAAAATAGTATATTAATCCTAAGTGCGTAGCTAAAATGATGTTGTTTCTGATCTGGGAGTCCCTTTTACCTGGGATTCCCTTAGCACAGTATTTAAAGGGACCTGTTTTGTTGAAGAAAAGAAGGAAAACCTAATGACTTTGGCTGTTCAGGTTATATTTTTGTTTGGCATAGATTTAGGTAATTTGAGCTAGTTTAAAGATGTGGAAAGTGTAGATCGTTTGCTAGGTTCTACAGAATGTGTATTGTAAGGTTATGATAAAAGCAAACATACCAGCCAGTTGTTTGACATGAGTAAGGCCTTGTTCGTTTTTTTTTTTTTTTCCAACTATGCCATTTGGCCTAGTAAGATCTGCTTCTCAGCATAAACTCTTCCCCACCTTAAAAAAAAAAAAAAAAATTGCTGCCTTTTTTGTAGTTAGGAGTATACCTAACTATGTATCAGCGGATATGGAAACATTAAAGCAACTAGTATGTATGGTATTCATATTAAAAATACACTTGCCACTGAAATACAAGCATATCTGGGGTGGTGTATGATGACTTTAATATTCCATCACAACATTGCTGTTTAAGACAGGAAGTTTAAAAAAAAAAAACACAAGATAATTGCAAGAAAATAAGATTACATGAAGAATTGAGGCAGGCTGAGTGCAGTTGTTAGGCTGAACTTGTGGTCAGGCTTCTGAGATGAACAAGCTCACACCGGCGAACAACTGCAAATAGGAAAAAGAACTTTAACCTTGTGTCTTATGTGAAAGAGTGCACCTGCCGGAGCCTGCTGCCACCCCTTGATGCTAGCGATTCAGTGCTGATTTACAGCAAAGTATGCCATCTACTGATATTTCCAATACCACTTCCTGTAGTGTCCTGAATTTTGTGCTTCTCCCATTCAAATACTGACCACGCCTGACGCTCTGCCTAGTTTATAAAATCTGACAAGGTCAACATCCTGAGGGTAGTGTCCCTGTAGTCGGCCAGCAGAAATTCTTACGTGTAAATATGTAACCTGTGCATGAAAGTTGTGTGTGAGAGAGACGGAGAGAGAGGCTCCTTGATTCATTCAGCCTAAAACAGAATGCGATGATGAACAAGGCTGTAGTACTTGGAAAAGACATGCCTCTAAGTAAAGCTGGGCCTGTGCTGACTTGAAAATCGCTTACTGGGTCTTGGAAACTGCAAGTAGAGCTTCTTTGGCGGGGATTTTTCGACTTGGATTTAACAATGTGTCCTTGTGGCTTTAATCAAAAGGAAGAAAAATGCATTCTCCAAGATATGTATATTTGCATAGCCATAGAGAGTTGGAGAAGTCATGCATTGCACTGTGTGCCAATTTTTTATTCCTTTGCTGTGACATTAAACTGCTTTCTTTCATAGAAGGACAGGAGCATAGATGCCCCGAGAGAGAGCTGGCCCCAAGATATTGATCCTCGCCAGGATGAAATGTGAGCAATTGGCTATAGACCTGGCCAAGCCAGATAAATTAGATGATCAGATTTCAAGCATGCTAGTTTCATGTCAACAGAGTACCACTACGTCCTGTTACGTTTAGCGTCAGCGTACAACGTAAGTCATTTGTGGTGGAGTTTTGTCTACAGTGAAACACTCGGTGTGCAGTTGGAACAAGATCTGCGTTTCTGCAGGATACATTGTTTCCTCTCTAGGAAGTTGAAAAAAATAAGAAAGATGACGTCTTTACCTGTGGAAAATGTGTAGGGTGTCTGGGGACAGGCTGGGGGAAGGAGGGAGCATATTTGGCTTTGAAAGATCCATCTGCATGTTACAGCTAATTAATTTGCATCCCAGTTTTGCATCTCGACAGATAAAGCTGATGCAGAGTAAAATGAATTGCATTACCATGATTAGACTACTAGCAAACAGGATTTAAAGGAAAACAAAGAAAGCCTCTAGTTTCTTTGCTGCGCCCTTGTCTCTGTCAAAGTTGGCGTTTACGATCTAGCACTAGGGCAGATGGATTTTCTGAATTCCTGTGCAGTAGAATTTAGTTTCAAGCTTTCTGTTTCATAAAGGGTTAAGTGAATAAACAGTGCTGCTGAAGTTTGAAGACATCCTCTTAAATATTTAATGGCAGTCTAAATATATACATATGTACCCTGTGTTTTAAAGAAAGGCAGAATTCATATACAGGCTTAACTGGTTCCAAATAATTACCTTTCGGAAGGTAGTATAAATGACTGTGGATATGAAAGACATTGAGGAAAGAAGTTTATTCCTAGTGAGGAAGAAACGAAACTAGAAATTACTTTCCTTTCTTTTCTGTGCTTATTGCACAGCACTGTAACCTTTGCTCAGGACAGCCTTTTTATAGGCAGGAGACTCAGCTGTGATTGACACAAGTCCTACCAGTAGTTTGCACACCAGATAAACCCATGGTATACCAGGAATTAATAAAAATATCCACAAAAGTGTGCATTCAGCTGTACATATTCACATTTAAAACTGTATATGCAACCCCATTGAATGTCACCCTGTCCCCCACAGAGATGTCTCAAACGTATGAGCACATTAATCTGATGTCGCCTTAGAATCTGGCCTGTTGGTCTTTATTCTCTCTGCAAGTACTAATAACACCCAAGTAGATGGTTATATAGCTTTTTAGGTAGATTCATCCTAAACCAAAAGCCTTTAGCGTTCTCTCGCTTGCCCCTATGTCACAGTGTCTTCTGTATTTTGCCTGCATTTCTCTGTTAGGTCTTGACCATACAGTCTGTTTGAGCAGTGACCAGTTGAAAAACATGGTAAGACTATAAAGGACACCAAGCTACGCTAGCTTTACCCTCCACCATAAACATATGTACCTAAAGAGAAAGATCAGATTTCTCAAAAAAAAAAAAAAAATTTTTTCTTGGCTGACTCCCCCCTCAGCCTTCCTACCCTCTTCAACCCCACTCATTATTTGTTTTTCCCCATGTATTCACCTTCTACCATTAATTTTAGCTTTCCTGCACAGATATTAACAAAAAGCCTCCAATTAACTTGAATAAGCCTTTGACGAGGCCTTACATTTTTGGATATGATCACTGCTACTCTCTCCATTTTCTAAGGGCAGAGTTGTTCAGAGATTGGGGATGCACTGCAGACATTGCTGTCGTTTTCCTAGAAAGATGTCAGTTTTGATGCAAATATCTTTTATACATCTTGCTATATTACAACGTTGCATTCCTTTTCTGTGCAATGAGCACAGAAAAGAAAGGAAAGTAATTTCTAGTTTCGTTTCTTCCTCACTAGGAATAAAATACAGTTTAAAAAAATCAGTAGGACTAGACACTAGGGCTGACTTTACCACTCACAAGAGAGGCACGAAAACATGCAGTAAGGCTTAGGCATGCCTGTTCAACTTGTAACGATAATCTAAACATTGTGTGTGCCTGTATGTGCATGTTTTGAACAAAGGCAAAATTCTTGTATTTTCAGCGTATTGAATTTCAGTGTATTGTATTCAAATGTAACTGCCACCCTTAATCACCTACTGACTTATTTTCAGAA